TGGTGATAGTGATGGTGGTGATGGTGATGGAGGTGGTGGTGGTGGTGATGTTGGTGATGGTGATGGAGGTGGTGGTGATGGTGGTGATGGTGGTGATGGTGATGGAGGTGGTGGTGATGGTGGTGATGGTGGTGATGGTGATGGAGGTGGTGGTGATGGTGATGGTGGTGGTGTTCCATCTAGTCGATTGGTTCTGACTCACAGTGATACTATAGAGAGTTCCCAAGGAGTGGCTGCTGGGTTTGAAACACCAACCTTGTGGTTAGCAGTCCAGTGCTTGTCCTACAGCACGACACCAAGACAGCGTACATATTTGGGAAACACAATTCAGTCCAGAGCAGCAGGTATGATCGAGAAGTAAGGGTTAAGCAAAGGCTTTGATGGAGGAGTGTGAGCACAGTAGGAAGTGGGAATAAAGGTCTTGAGAGATTGGTGGTGGCAGTGATGATGTGCCATGGAGTCAGTTCATAGAGACCCTGTACAGGGCTTCCCAGGCTGTAAATCTTCACAGGAGCAGAAAGCCTCATCTTAATCCCATGGAACCTTTGGTAGTTTTGAACTGCTGATCTTGAAATGAGCAGCTCTCGTAAGGTATTATTGGTGTGAAAAAGAAAGATGAGAAAAGCAAAAAAACAAAGCTATGTGTATAATAAGCTATCATGTATGAAAAGCGGAGGAATAGAATTACTTGTATATGCATAAAGAAATTCTGGATGGATGGATAGAAAACTATATGCAGCAAATATCTATGTAAGGGGAGCCTTGTAGCTGAGTCCCAGTGATGGATGAGGACCAGTCACTGTGCATCTGTTAGTGCTTTCTAACGTTCTTAACTATTATCTATTTTTTAAATGACTAGTGTGGCATTGTAGGAGCAGCACTGGACTGTTAATCAAATGGCTAGTGGTTCAAATCCACCAGCCACACCTTGGAAACCCTCCACAGGGCTGCTACGAGTCAGAACTGACTCGTACCATCAAGTTGGCACTGACTGATAGCGACACTATGCACAACAGAACGAAACACTGCCCAGTCCTGGGCCAACCTCACAATTGTTGCCATGCTTGAGCCCATTGATGCTTCTTCTTTACCAATCCATCTCGCTGGGGGTCTGACTCGATGGCATTTAACAGCAACACCATTACGTTTTACATTAGATATATTACATTGCTATGTCAAAATGTAGGTTTTGAGTACACTTCTCTGAAAGAATACATTTGCCATGTAGCCAGATTTTATTAAATTTACTAAAAGTATATCTTTAATGGTGATAAAGGAATTCTGGTGTGGCACTGCGGGTTAATGTGCTGGACTGCAAAATCAGTTTGAACCTAAATGTCGGTGGTTCAAGCTCACCAGCCGCTCCTCAGAGACCCTCCAAGGTTTCCTATGAGTCGGAACCAACTCAATGGTGCTTAACAACAACAATGTGAATAAATGTGTAATTCTAATGACTTAAAATCAAAGTTAAATAAAACATTAGAAAAAATAGGTTTGATTGAGCATAGCCAAAAAAATTTAAAATTCTTAATATACAGTTTATGGGATCCTGGGGTATATAGATTTTTAAGTTTTGAAAACCATTTTATATGCTACTGCTGTTTCCTAAGAATATTTGGTATCCGTATACCATTTTGGATGCTCTATTACAGAGTCAGGGTTAACGTGTTTAAATGAAATAATAAACAAGGGATTAGGAAATTTAACTGATGAAGGGGATATTGTTGTTGTTATTGTTGTTAAAGTGCCATTGAGTCAGTTCTGACACATAGCGACCCTGTACAGGGTTTCCAAGGAGTGACTAGTGTATTTAAACTGCCTGTCTTTCAGTTCAAACCGACCTTGAGGTTAAGTGCTTATCCTACAGCACCACACCAGGAGTCCGCAGGGAACTTTTCAGAGACTGAAACCCAAGTCCCACCCGTCTGCAAAAACTCCTGAAGACGAAGAGCAAAGTGCCAAGGCATGATGGATGACTGTACATACAATGACCCTTTCAGAGAGAAATCCCTCTTGTCCTTAGGAAATATAAGGTGGGAGAGATTCTGGGAGACAATCAGGACTATGGTAACAGCATGGGTGTTCAGTCCAAGAGACATGGATCAAGTTCAGGCAGGGTAATCTCAGAACACTACTTAGCATCTCTGGCTCCTTCTCTCATCTGTTAAATGAGGTTATTAGTGCAGAGGGAGTCCTGGTATAGTGCTGTGGGATAAAGCACTGGACTGCAAGGTTGGCGGTTCAAATCCACCAGTTGCTCCTCGGAAACCCCATACATGATCACTGTGAGTCAGAACCGACTTGATGGCACTTCACAGCGACAATAGTTACAAAATAGGGTAGCATGGAAGTGGGCCAAAGCCCTGGGTTTCAGGGACATCTCATAGATCAACAACCAAAGGCATGAAAAATGTTGCCATTGTTTATGTTACATTGCTTTTAGCACAGCTCATCAGCATATACTTATTATTAATTTTTACAAGCTCAGGTAGTTCCCCATTTATAACAGGGCTCCTGATGTAAGTTGAATACCTCTTTTTTTTTTTTTTTCAAGTTTACATAATTACCTTTTTATTATCAGCATCTTTATAAATTCAATCTTTGAACATCTAAAGGGGAGTATTTGACTATAATAACATCAGCAAATTATATATTATAACATTGTATGTAGTACATATTTCTAACAATAAGATGCACACAGAGACAAAATCAGATGGTCATAACTGTAATTGTTGGTAACTCAAATATGTTGTAAATTAGGGACGACTCAAGGTTAAAAATTGGGTTGCTAACTGCAAGGTCGGAAGTTCAAACCCACCAGCTGCCCCTCAGGAGACAGATGAGGCTGTCTGCCTGTGTAAAGACTGAACATCTCACAACCCTAAGGAGCAGTTCTACTATGTCCTCCAGGGTCTCTCTAAGTCAGAACCAACTTGACAAATGTGGGCAATGGGGTTTCCTCAAACCCTTACTAGGGAGTTCACATGTCTAGCTCTTATAGGCTACCTCTTAAAGGTCCCAGTATGCTCAAGAACTTGAGGCTTTAGCTCCAAATGACAGACAGGACATTTGAGCCCAGAAGCTCAGGGCCTCCTCTGTGACTGTGGTCTTCGCCACATGGTGTTGCTGTTGAGCTGGGTTATTAGCAATAATCATTGGTAATAATTGTTGCACTTAAATATGAATGCGTGTCACATGATGTGCTGGTCACTGATCTAAGTATATTATATGCATTAACCCAATACATTCTCACAACATTCCTGTGAGGTTTTCCCATTACTTGGACCTGGGCACTTGGGACCTGCCTACTTGAACTTACCTTTTTTTCTCTCAAACAGTACAATTCTCTTCAAACTTGGCTTCTTCTTAAATTCATAGTAGGACATACCACTTCAGTGTCATAAAAGCCAGCATTCTCTTCACTCACAGTTTGGGATCTACAGGTAGAAAGGGTTCATTTTACAAAGCTCTCCTGTCTGCTTCCAGATGGGACGGACACCTTGTCTTTGTTATCTGTTGCTGTTATTGTTAGGTGCCATGGAGGTCGAGTTGGTTCTGCCTCATAGCGACCCTGTACAGGGTTTCTGAGGCTTTAAATCTTTACAGGAGCTGCAAGCCTCATCTTTTTCCCACAGAGCAGCTGGCAGGCTTGAACAGGAAACTTTGTGGTTCATAGTCCGGTGCTTATAGTATGGAGCCACTGTACTGCCTTATAAATTTTTTTTACAAAACAGAAAGCCTCATCTTTCTCCTGCAGAACAGCTGGTGGACTTGAACTGCCAACCTTGTGGTTAGCAGTCCAGTGCTTATCCTACAGCACCAGTTATCTAGTGCTGTTGTAATAGAAATATCACAGAAACTCACTGCCCACTTTTGTCAAGTCTATTTTGACTCACAGAGACCCTATGGTATTGTGTAGTGTAAAGACACAGTAGAACTCTTCCTTTGGGTGTATTTATTTTCTGCAGGGTGGCTTTACTTTCGCACAGATTAGGAGACTGTAAATCTAACGTCAGGGTGCTGACGTTCAGGGAAGACTTTCTCCCTCTGTTGGCTCTTGAAGAAGGCCTTTGTTTCTTCAGTTTCTGTTTCCTGGTTCTTTGGAGCTCTCCAAGTGGCTTGGCATTAATCTTCCTCCATCACTGCTAGCTAGTTTGCTTGGTTAATCTTTTTTACATCTGAAGAGAAACTGACTCAAGATATACCCTAACTACCAGAGGTTCAAGTCAGATTCAGAGAAAGATATAGAATGAGGGATATCATTGCTGATGTCAGATGGATCTTGTTTGAAAGCAGAGAATACCAGAAAGGCTTTATTGACTATGCAAAAGCTTATAACTGTGTGGGTCATGATAAGCTGTGGACAACACTATGGAAAAGGAATATTCTGAACCGCAAATTCTTTCACCATACTTATCCAATCTGTATGTTGAAATTGGATTATATGAAGAACATGGCATCAGAATGGGAACATAGCTTATTAACAACTTGGGATATGCAGATGATTCAGTCTTGCTTACAAAAAGGAAGAGGACTTAAAATACTTATTGATGAGGATACAAGACCACAACCTTCAGTATGGGTTGCACCTCAATGTAAAGAAACAAAAATCCTCACCACTGGGTCAGTAATTAACATCATGATAAGTAAAGAAAAGGTTGAAGTTGTCAAAGACTTCATTTTGCTTGGCTCCACCATCAACATTCATGGAAGCAGCAGGCAGGAAATCAAAGGACATATTGCCTTAGTCAAATCTGCTGCAGAAGACCTCTTTAAAGTGTTCAAGAGAAAAGATGTCAGTTTGAGGACTAAGGTGAACCTGACCCGGGCTATTTTCAGTAGCTTCATATGCTTGTGAAAGTTGGACAATTAATCAGAAAGACCATAGAAGAATTGATGTATGTGAGTTCTGGTGTTGGAGAAGAATATTAGACGTACTATGGACTGCTAGAAGAACAAACAAATCTGTGTTGGAAGAAGTACAACCAGAGTGCTCCTTAGAAGCCAGGATGGCCAGATTTCATCTCATACTTTGGGCATGTTATCCAGTCCCTGGATAAGGACACCATGGGAGACCCTGAACAAGACAGATTGGCTCAACCTAGCAGCAATTGTGAGGCTGGTACAGGACTTAGAGGTGTTTCTTCTGTCCATATGTAGGGTCCAACAGACTAGAGGGCACTTAACAACAACAATCTCATTAACATGACAAAAATGATCCATTCTCAAATTTCCCTCAGGCGTTGTTGTTGTTAAGTGCCATCAAGTGGGTTCAACTTTGACTCATAATGGTGGTGGTTCTGTGCAGTGGAGTGGGTTCCGACTCATAGCGACCCTGTGTAGGGTTTCCGAGGCTATAAATCTTTACTGGAGCTGCAAGCCTCATCTTTTTCCACGGAACAATTGGGAGTGTCGAACTGCTGACCTTGAGGTTAGCAGCCTGACTGGTATCCACTATGCTACCAGAGCTCCTTACTATGATTCATAGCCACCCTTTATAAGGTTTCCAAGGAGGGCGTAGTGAATTTGAACCACTGACCTTGTGGTTAGCAGCCCAGTACATATCCTACCAGCTACATCTGGTCTCCAACCACAGGAAGAGAGGCTGGGATTTACGACACATATTTTTGGAAGACATAGTTCAACCAATGCTAATAGATTTGCATGCCTCTTTTGGAGTCCTGGTATGTAGGATAAACCCTGCTAAGCACGGACAGCTAACTTCCCAGGTCTGGACAGAAGGAGCCTTCTTGGTCATCTTGATGCCTCTGGCAACTGTCTGATACTATCCATTCCCATGGATTCTGCAGATGACAGGCTTCCCAAATTAATGTCTCTTAAAAATGTGTGTACATTGGTACTGTGGAGTCTAAAAACTGCTAGGGGTCTGGTGTGGGGTTTGGGACAATCTGGCTCCTTGACATTCTTCTCATGAAGTATTTTGGTGATATAGTGAGGATTCTTTTAGTTTATTTTTTTAAATAAAGAGTTTAAGTATACCAGATTCTTTTTTTAACTTGCGTAGCTGGGAGGTCAGAGGCACTATTATTCTAAGTATTCTAAATGTTTTGCTTGCTTCATATAATTGTCAAAACTTCCCTAGTAGAGGAAACGGGAACACAGAGGAGTAACGGGGACACAGCCAGGCGGTCTGTCTCTACAGCTCGTACTGGGAACCAGACCTGGCACAGCTAGACTGAGGGACTCATTCGAGGTCATCAGAAACATTTTTTTCTCTCTACCTTTCCATTGGAGGTTATAGGGTGTTGTTGTTGTTGTTAAGTGCCATCGAGTCAATTCCGACCCATAGCAACCCTGTAAAGTGTTTCCAAGGAGCTGGTGAGCTTGAACCGCCGACCTTGCAGTTGAAATGATTTTGTAGTCTGACACATTATCCCACAGCGCCACACCAGGAGGTGTCTCATTCCCACTCATTTAGAAGTCCCATGTTGTTGTTGTTGTTAAGTGCCATCGAGAGAAGTCCCATGGAGAGCTCTAATTGGCATGGTTTGAATATATTTGATTACTTTTTCTTAACCAATCATAGAGGCAGAGTACTTCCATGTTGTTGCTGTTCTTAAGTGCCATTGAGCAGGTTCCAACTAATAGTGACATCACCTTTAACAACAACAGGGTGTCCAAGACTGTAAATCTTTGCGGGAACAGAAAGTCTCACCTTTTTCTCCCATGGCGCATCTGGTAGGCTTGAACCACCAACCTTGTGGTTTGTGGCCTAGTACTTACCCTACAGAGCTACCACGCGTCTATGGAGAACCTGACTGACCACATCCGACCGCTGGATAAAGGAGTGAGGAGGTAGCAGGGTGGAGTCATAGCTGCCCCAGCGGAACCACATGGATTGAGAATAGGAAAGAGATGCTTCTTCAAAGAGAAGCCAGCCAAGCAAGGATGCTAAATCTGCTATAACTGCCAAGAAGATGGTACCAGTTGCTGTCAGGGTGATTCTGACTCATGATAACCCTATATGTTTCAAGGGGTATTTTTTCAAAAGGTATATTCACAGGGTATCCTATAGGGTTCTTGGTGACTTTTTTTTAGAAGTAGATTACCAAATCTTCTAAGGCATCTCTGCATGGACTTGAACCTCCAACCTGTTTGTTTAGTAGTCAAACACATTAACTGTTTACACCACCCAGGAACTCTTATACATACTTAGTTTGCGATATGAGAAAGTCATATTGTTGTTGTTGTGTGCCATGGAGTTGGTTCCGACCCATAGCGACCCTGTACAGGGTTTCCAAGGCTGTAAATCTTTACAGGAGCAGAAAGCCTCATCTTTCTCCCACGGAACAGCTGGTAGTTTAGAACTGCTGACCCTGAGGTTCGCAGCCCGATTCATAACCACTATGCTACAAGAGCATAGCAGCTTCTAAATACCCTGTCTTCCAGGTGATTGTTCAGCGGAGCCTGGCTGCCAAGAACCTGTCCCATGCCAAAGGAGGATCTCTGATGGCCGCATACCTGAAGGTGCTGCCTCTTTTCATGATGGTGTTTCCTGGAATGATCAGTCGTGTCCTCTTCCCAGGTGAGAAAACAACTTGGAAAAGAGTTCATCTGACTGTGAATCTCAGTCCCTGCCTCAGTCCCTGACAGTATCTGTGTCTCAGACACTGCCTGCCCCAAGAGAATGAGACTGGAGTCCCTTCCTAGTGAGGATTAGACTTGAGCTTCTCCATCTTTGCATCTCTTGACTCTATGCTCTTTCCAAATATTGGGTAAGTTCTACACATGTCCCAGGCTAAATTGAATAGAGATTGAAAAACAACCATTCAATTTTGTTCTTTCTCTCTCTCTCTTTATACTTCTTATGGTGAATTGGATGAAGGTTAGCATAGCAGATTATCGGTTTTCCATTCAACAATTCATACATATTGTTTAATGGCACTGATTGCAATCCTTTCAGTGGACCATTGCTTAATCCCTTCCTCTCTGTGTTTCCTGCTTCTATTATTCCTCCTTCGTTCCTAACACTGTTGAACTTTGATCTTAAGTAAACACTGCCCTTTCCGTCTTACACGGTTGATGATTCTAAGGTATGCATACTTCACTGGTGTTACCGCTCCCCTTTAGACCTGTCTATTGTTTGGCTGAAAATTGAGCCATGGGGTGAGTTCAGTTCCAGACCCGAAGGCTAACTGAGGACCACAGTCTCAAGAGTTACCCAGTCTCTCTCTGACCAGTAAGCCTGGTCTCTTTTATGATTTTGAGTTTTGCTCCACATTTTTCTCCATTCTATCCAAGACCCTTGAATGTGTTCCCTTTCAGAGCAGTTAGTATTAGCCAGGCACTATCTAGTTCTTGTCATGGAGATTGATGTCCACAAGGTCCATTAGTCCACTGGACCAATTGATTCCATGTGACTTTGATTTTCATCACTCCAGACAGGAAGTAACCAATACTTGCATCTTACTTAGATGACCACTCACAGGTCACTTAATTAAGACAGGTGATCAGACACTGCTGGAAAGTGGGTTAATTATCACAAAGCTGTAACTTAGCTGAAGGAGCTCTGGTAGCGTAGTGGTTATGAATTGGGTTGCTAACCTCAAGGTCAGCAGTTCAAAACTACCAGATGTTCCATGGGAGAAAGAGGAGGCGTTCTGCTTCTGTAAAGTTTTACAGCCTCGGAAACCCTGTACAGGGTCTCTGTGAGTTGGAACCAACCCCATGGCACACCACAACTTAGCTGAGCCAACTAATTTTCCTATGATCAACATGTTCTTAAGACTGGATGTAATAAACAGTTTCCTGCAGGTAACATGTTTTATAAGCTTTGTGTCTGTCCCAGGTTTCATGTTTGAAGATTGCATTCCAGAAAAGTTAAACATAAACTTTGTTGTTAACAATTAAATATCTCAGGGAAGTTTTTTCTCTTTCTCAGTACACCTTGAAGAGAGAAACTTGGGCAACAAGAGGCAGAATTCATCAGATTTGAACCTAAAAAAATACCCTTTCCCTACTTGTTGTTGTTAAGTGCCATCGAGTTGGTTCTGATCCATAGCAACCCTGTATAGGGTTTTCAAGGAGTGGCTGGTGAGTTTGAACTGCCAACCTTGTGGTTCATAGTCCAGTGGCAATCCTACAGTGCCACACAGGAGTCCCGCATTCCTTATAGGGTAGTGAAAAAGTTATTAAAACTAATGTGATAGATAGTCTATCCCGACAAAAATGTATTCAGCATGTGCTAGACATTAGTATGTACTCGTTTTCTCTCCTCTTCTGTTTTCCAAGCAGGAAGCCTCTGTTTGTCTGCTTGGGAAGTGTTCATCATCACAGAAGCAGAGATGATGAGCTAAAGCTGTCAGGAAGCCTAGATGGATGACATTAGAGAGGCCAGGAGAGAATGGAACTGGAGGGGAGAGAAATTCCCAGCCAGTGCTGTTGCATTTGACAGCGCAAAATGAGAACAGCTGTTAGACTGTTAAGAAACAGATGGAAAAAGAAATATATATATATTTTTAATTGCCATGTGTCAAGCAATAGGATTCTTCTTTTGCACCTTGGAGGCACTTCTGCAATATTTTTAATTGTTTTAGAGTGCCTTTGTATAAGGTGGTGAGGAGATAAAATCTGATGTAAGACACACCGTCTGTTGTATTGTGGTGGCTTGTGTGTTGCTGTGATGCTGGAAGCTATACCACCGGTGTGTAAATACGAGCAGGGTCACACATGATTGACAGGTTTTAGCTGAGCTTCCTGGTACGGAACTGTGGGTTAATGCGCTGAACTCCAAGGTTGGTTTGAACCGCATCGTTGGTGGTTCAAGCTCACCAGTTGCTCCTCAGAAACCTTTCACAGGATCACTATGAGTTGGAACCGACTCGACGGCACTAAATAACAACAACAGCAACAAGAGCGTCCAGGCTAAGACAAACCAGGTAGGCAGAGAGACCGACTACTTCTGAATGTTTGTTGTTGTTGTTGTTCAGTGCCGTCGAGTCGGTTCCGACCCATAGCGACCCTGAACTGGGTTTCCAAGGCTGTAAATCTTTACGGAAGCAGAAAGTCTCATCTTTCTCCTGCAGAGCAGCTGGTAGTTTCGAACTGCTGACCTTGAGGTTCGCAGCCCAATTCGTAACCTCTATGCTACCAGAGCCACTGAAAATCTAATGAATAGCAGCACAACATTTTCTGATATAGCGCCGAAGGTGAGCCCCTCAGGGTGGAAGGAACTCAGAGTCTGACTGGAGAAGACCTGTCGCCTCTAAGTAGGGTTGAACATGATGACGTGAGTGCAGTGAAGTTTTAGGACCTTCATATGCTAATGGGGCACAACTCAAAATGAGGAAAAATGGCTGTAATATCCATTAATAATCAGATCATGGAATGTATGAAGTAGGAATGTAGAAAAGTTGTCAAAAATTAAATGAAATGCATAAAGATCCATATTCTAGGCATTAGTGAGCTGAAATGGACTGGTTTTGGCCATTTGGAATCTTACAATCATATAGTTTACTATGCCAGACATGTCAAATTAAGAGGAATGGTGTTTTTATTGTCAAACAGAATGTCAAGATCTATATTGAAGTACAGTGCTATCTATGACAGGATAATATCCATATGCTTACAAGGAAGACCAGTTAATTAATACCACTCTTATTGAAGCAAATCTGTATTGGAAGAATTTCAGCCAGAAAGTTATTTAGAAACCAAGATGACCAAACTTTGTCTCTCATACTTCGGGCATATTATCAGGAAGGACCAGTCCCTAGAGAAGGACATCCTACTTGTTAAAGTGGAGGGACAGAGAAAAAGATGAAGACCCCCAATGAGATGATCTGCCTCAGTGGCAGCAGCAATGGGCCTCAGTGTAACAATGATTGTGAGGTTGGAGCAGGACTGGGCAGTGTTTTGTTCTATTGTGCATAAGGTCGCTATGAGTTGGAACCAAATCAATGGCACTTAACAACAAAAACAACATTATTCAAATGTATGTGCCAAGATGATGAAATTGAAGGATCCCTACAAGAAGAGCTGTGGGAATGGAAAGGTTGGAAATGAAGACGAAGGACAGGAGTTGGAAACTATGGCTTTGGTGATAGAAATGATGCTGGAGATCACATGGTAGAATTTTGCAAGACCAGTGACTTCGTCATTGCAAATACCCTTCTTAAACAACATATAAGACAACTGTACACATAGACCTCACCAGGTGGAATACACAGAAATCGAACTGACTATATCTGTGGAAAGAGACAGTGGAGAAGCTCCATATTATCAGCCAAGGCCAGGGAAAACTATGGGACAAGGCCAGGGAAGACTATGGGACAGATCGGCAATTGCTCATATGCAAGTTTAAGCTGAAGCTGAAGAAATGAAAACAAGTCCATGAGAGCCAAAATATGACCTTGAACTTATCCCACCAGAATTTAGACATCATTTGAAAAATAGATTTGATGCATTAGACACCAAAGACCGACGACCAGAAGCATTGTAGGATGACACCAAGAACATCATATAGGAAGAAGAAGGCAAAATTTCATTAAGACAAGAAGGAAGGGAAAGACCAAAATAGATGTCAGAAGAGAATCTGAAACTTGCTCTCCAGCATAGAAATGCAAAAAAAAAAAAAAAAGGAAGAAATGAACTGAAGAGATACAAGAGTTGAACAGAAAATTTCAAAGGTCACCTCAAGAAGACAAAGTCAAATATTATAACAAAATGTGCAATGACCTGGAGTTAGAAAATTAAAAGGCAAGAACATGCTCAGCATTTCTCAAGCTGAGGGAACTGAAGAAAAAGTTCAAGCCTCAACTTGCAATATTGAAGGAATCCTGGTGTGGTGGTGTGGGTTAACGCGCTGGATGGCAAAGTCTGTTTGAACTGCAAGGTCTGTGGTTCAAGTTCACCAGCTGCTCCTCAGAAACCTTACACAGGGTTGCTACAGGTCAGAACTGACTTGACGGCACTTAACAACAACAACTGCAAGGGCAAAATAATGAATGATGCAGAAAGCAGCAAAAGAAGATGGAAGGAATACACAGAGGTACTGTATAAAAAAGAAATGGTTGATGTTTAATCATTTCAAGAGGTAGCATATGATCAAGAGTCAATGATCCTGAAGGAAGAAGTCCAAAGTACATTAAAGGCATTGGCAAAGAACAGGGCACCAGGAATTGATGCAATACAATTGAAATCTTTCAACAAACTAATGTGGTATGGTGGCACTCACTCGTCTATGCCAAGAAATTTGGAAGACAACTACCTGGCCAACTGACTTGGCAGAGATTCATATCTGCGCCCATTCCAAAGAGAGGTGACCCAACAGAATGCAGAAATCATAGGCCCATATCATTGAAATCCCATGTGAGTAAAATTTTACTAAAGATAATACAAAAACGGCTACTACCATACATTGACAGAGAACTTCCAGAGGTTCAAGTCTGATTCAGAAGAGAATGTACAAGGGATATCATTACTGACGTCAGATGGATCTTGGCTGAAAGCAGAGAATACCAGAAGGATGTTTATTTGTGTGACTATGGAAAGGCTTTTGATTATGTGAATCATGACAAGCTATGGACAACAATGAGGAGAATGAGTATTCCAGAACACTTACTTGTGCTCCTGAGGAACTTGTACAAAGACCAACAGGCAGCTCTTCTAACAGAACAAGGGAACACAGGATGGTTTAAAATTAGGAAGTGTGTACCAGAGTTGTATTTTTCATCATACTAGCATTGTATTCTTTCATCATACTTATTCAATCTGTATGCTGAGCAAATAATCCGAGAAGCTGGGTTATATGAAAAAAAAAACAAAACACGGCATCAGGATTGGAGGAAGACTCATTGATACCTGCGATATGCAGATGAAACAACCTTGCTTGTTAAAAGTGAAGAGGACTTAAAATACTTAGTGATAAAGACCAAAGGTCACAGCTTTTGATATGTGTTACACCTTGATGTAAATAAAACAAAAATCCTCACCTGGTGTGGCTCTGTGGGCTAATGCGTCAGACTGCAAAGTCATTTGAACTGCAAGGTTGGTGGTTCAAACTCACCAGCTGCTCCTTGGAAACCCTATACAGGATCGCTATGGTTGGAATTGACTCGATGGCACTTAACAACAACAACTGGACCAATAAACAACATCCATATAAATGGAGAAAAGATTAAAGTTGTCAAAGTCTAGGTTCTTTTGCTTGTCCCTCACTGAGCTATAAACTGAAATACAATATATAGGAAACAAATCTTATAGCTTGATGTCTATGTGAACACATCTGCTAACCATCACCTAGATCAAGATATAAGGATACTTCCATCATTGCAAAAAATGATTTCATATAGATTGTATTTTACACAAATCATAGCATGGTTTATATGGAACATTTCCGTTACCCTGAAAGGTTTTCTTGTGTATCATCCACTCAGGATTCTCCCCACCAAGATTACCATATTCTGATTTCCATAACCACAGTTTTGTCTGCTTTTGACTTTGTATAAGTGGGCTCACTCGCAATCATTCTTTTATGCCTAGCTTCCTTTCGCTGACCACAATGTTCTTGCGATTCATCAAAGTTATTTCATCAGTAATACCTTTTTTTCTTTTTTGCTGTGTAATAATTATTCCATTATGTGAATATGCCACATTTTATTTATTCATTATCCTGCGGATAGACATGTGTGTTATTTCCCAAACCCTACTCTTACCCATTACCCAGTCCTGCCCACTGCAGGATAAAAGGGTACTGGTGTGCTGACTAGGAGGCCCGCTGCAAGGGTCTTGCTCTCCAGACAGGACAAAGCTTGGTCCCTGGAGTTCTTGTCAATCACCCTGGCTCCTGGTACTGGTCTGTGCAGGTCATGTGTAGCTAGGCCTAGGCTTTTGAGGGTCTGTCTTCTCAGCACTGGAACTCTGTTTTCTCTACAGACCAAGTGGCTTGCGCAGATCCAGAAATCTGCAAGAAGGTCTGTAGCAACCCCTCTGGCTGCTCTGACATCGCATATCCCAAACTAGTGCTGGAACTTCTGCCCACAGGTAATGCCCCCTTTTCCTTCAATCAAGCCCCCAGAAACCCCCAGAAAAGATTTGGCTAGGCTCTGATCTGAGGAAGGGGTAAGATGGGAGAGCTGTTGGAGGGCATGGTATCTGACTGACCAGCTAAGCCACAGAGTCAGGACCCCCAGATATAGCCCAGGCCTTGGCTACCCAGCGGGCTCTGACCACGCCGCCTCTCTGAAGCTCAGTCAGCTGCTTCCAGTCTTTATGCTTTGTCTCCTCATGCTGAACCCACTGGGTCAGCAGTCTTGAGCCTGGGATAATGGGGTCCTGAGTGAAGGCAGCAGCTGTTGACAGGAAATGCCTGAGGCCCAGAGACCTCCCTTCTGTCCCCAGGGCTTCGTGGGCTCATGATGGCTGTGATGGTAGCTGCGCTCATGTCTTCCCTCACCTCCATCTTTAACAGTGCCAGCAGTATCTTCACCATGGACCTCTGGAATCATATCCGACCTCAGGCATCTGAGAAAGAGCTCATGATTGTCGGCAGGTAAGGCTTTGATGGGTGGAGGAGCCAGGGAGTGAAAAGGTCAGCTAGTCAGGAGAGAAAGAATAGAATCCACACAGAGCAAAGTACATCCACAACTTTTCCAGTTAGCTTAGGAAAGATCAGTGAAGTAAAACAAAAAGTCTCTTCCTGCCCGCATGGAAGCACTAGAGGAGAAAGATAAATTGTGAGGCAGCTATCACCCTAGTGAGGGAGCGTTATGAGGTGGGAGTCAGGAGACTGAGGGATTCAGAGCCCGGGGCACTAACCGGGACTGAGACCTGAGGGATTGATCGCTCAATAAAAGAGACAAGGGGTTTTGGGATTTCCAAACCAAGCCTTCTGCAATGTTCTGGAGTCAAATGGGGAAACAGAAATGACCCAAATGAGTGGCATATAAACTGCATGTAAATGATATGTAAATGCCAACTGGAGTGGATACACTCTGAAAATCCCTGTGGAGCACTGGGCTGCATATCCCAATGTCCTGAGTTCAAATCCAGCAGCTGCTCAGCAAGAAAAAGATGGGGCTTTCTGCTCCCGTATAGATTTACAGCCTTGAGACCCTATACAGGGTCGTGATGAGTTGGAATCGACTCAATGGCAGTGGGCTTTTTTTTTTTTTTTTTAAGGATTGTCTTAGCCTTGAGTTCAAGACAGAATTCTTAGATATGACACCAAAACATAATCTATAAAAGAGGGGGGGAAATGACAACTTGTACTTCATTAAAATTTAAAAATTTTGTACTTCAAAAGATACCACTAGGAAAATAAAAAGACAAAAATATTGCAAACAATATGTCTGATCCACCACTCATCTGTCAGTTTGTCTACTGTGGTGACTTGGGTGTTGCTGTAATGTAGATGCTATGCTACTGGTATTTCAAATACTACAGGGTCACCATAGTTGCCAGGTTCTACTGGAGCTCCCAGACTAGGAAGGAGAACCATTAAAAAAAAAAAAAAAGCCAGTAGAAACTTTATGAAAAGCAACAGAACATTGTCCGATATAATGCCAGAGATGAGCCCCTCCGAAATACAAACTCTTCCTTCCTAAAGTAGAGTTGACCTTAATGACAGGGCTGGAGTAACGTTTCCATCTTCACTTGCTTATGTGGCCTGGCTCAGATGAGAAGAAACAGCTGCAAACATTAATAATCAGAGTGTGGAATGTACAAAGTATAAATCTAGGAAAACTATAAGTCATCAAAAATGAAATGGAATGCATAATGATCAGTACCCTAGACATTAGTGAGCTGAAGTGGGCTGGTACTAGCCATTTTGAATCTTATAATCACACAGTCTACTATGCTGGGAAGGATAAATTGAAGGGAAATGGCATCAAATTCATTGTCAAAAAGAACATTTCAAGGTCTATCCTGAAGTACAGTGCTGTTAGTGATATGATGGTAACCATATGCCTACAAGGAAGACCAGTTAACATGACTATTACCAAATTTACACACCTATCAATAATGCTGGAGAACGAATGATAGATTTCTGCAAGACAAATGATTTGTTTATTTCAAATACCTTCTTTAGACAGCATAAGAGACGACTATACAC